AATTACTTTACGAACTCTACAACCCAATTTGAGGATATTTTATTCACTCCGCTAATAAAGGTTGCCTCTGTTCCACAAATGGAAGGAGTTGAGATGTATTGACAAGTATTCTGTAAACAATTAAAAAATTCTTTTTTTATTTTGTCATGGTGAGTTCGCAACTTATTTGATTGAATGAAAGCGAACTTTTAAGAATAGTGGTTCAGAGAATTCCAGAGGGTGAATAAAAATCCACTCATTTCATCGAAGAAAGATAAACTATTAGTCGGAGGAACATCAAAGTGGTAAAAAAAGTAGATTTCTCAAATAACAAAAAAATACTGAATAATAATTGTAATCACCCTCGGTCGCATAAGATGAGGAAATCTAGTTAAAGTTTCCCACAATTATTTGAGTAGGCTTCATTATGCCAATGAATTTCACTTATCGTTCCTTCCAAAATCGACTACCATTCTTGTCACGTCTGAGTCTCATCAGTTCTCCAGCTGGAATCGAACCCAAGTGGGACAAAGTATGATTCCCACATTTTACCCATACGCCACATTTCCTGTGGGTCAAAGGGCAGACTAGTCCATCCTGGATGAGAATGCCCTTTTGAAACCATGGTTTAGTGAAATTCAATAAAAAATTGTGGACTATTCATATAATTGTGTGAAAATGTAACTATCAATTCTTCAGCACCTTGAGTGAATACAGCTCTTATTCAAGATTTAGTGATAGTCTTTAAATTGACTTTTAATTAATAAAGAAATATTTACTTGCATGCCTTGTTAAACTATGATACGGCAATTAATACGCTTCGTCTCCAGCACAGTTTCATACTAAGATTGTTGAATATCAATTTTCTAATCTCTCTAAACTGGAACCTTTGGTATAAAAAGCAAGTTGTACCAATAAAAAGATATATATATTCCTGTTCCAGTGTGCATATTTGTATAATCACACACATGAATATGCATGCATATTTGTGCGTCAAGCACTTAAGGCATTCCGTAGTATGAATAGTCTATGATTGTGCTTCTTTTCTTGGTTTTTAAGACTTGAATGAACTCAGCTGACACATCAGATAGACTTTGGTGCACTGAGGCCTTAGCCGAGTCGATTCCATTAGGCGAATTCGACTGGCCTCGTCTCTCTTCTCTTTGCCCGGCGTTATTACGGCTGCCTCTCTTGTCAAGTCACTTCATCATCTCCTCTGTTTTCTCCCTCGCTCCATTTCACTTACTCTTTGCCATCCTCGGGACCGCCCACTCCGTGACAATGGTCCCAGTTCTGCATAAACCCCGGCCTCCTCTTTCAGTCGCCCCCTTTTCCAACCGCCTTTTGCCCCATTTCCTGTCGGCCACGCTATTCCCTACAGCCTCCAACCAGTTCCGTCAGCACTCGTCAGAAGCATAAATCATCCCGGGCCTAGGCAGAACTGGTGCTTTGGCAGGCCGAGTGGTGGAGGCGGTGACAATAGTGAGGGGATGGAAATAGGTGGCCGATATGAGTCCGATTCATTGTGAGAGAAGTGAAGAGAGCAAAAGCCTGCAGAAGGAGAAAGTTAAAACTAAATCGAGGGTTGCGATGGCTGCATCACCGTGTGCCTCATTATTGTCCTGTTCTTAAAATTTCTATTCTCCTCAGACAGAAAATTATATGCCATGAGTCTATTCCTGCGCATATGTGCGTATATTGAAGCTGTCGAATAAAATCCACTGGCTTGATGAGTTTAACAAATGTGGGAAGAACTCTTCATTTCCATACAAACATCTCATCATTCTACTGACAGTCAACTAGAAACCAAGAAGATTACGATTCATTTTGAGTGTAATAAATCTAGATCCATTCTGTACGGATGCCCATGAACAATTAAAAGATATACAAGTCAGACTAAGCAATGCACTTTTCTCGAAGCAGTATCGGTTTGCTTTTCGACTCTGATATTGAGTAAATTTCCTGGCATTTCTTCCAGCTGACTCATTAAATTATACGAATCAAAATGCTTATTTGGAAGAGATACAATTTGTCCGCATATAGCCCCTTTGCCTAAACTGATGCGTTAATGGTAGATCTAGAATTAGACAAATGCTGAAATGTTAGTATTCGAGAGTGGCACTAATTTTGCATTTGCTGAGTGTTTTCATCTTAAGGAATTATGCACAAATTCATAATTGACAAATCTCCCGTCGGAACGATTTGGCAGATAATTCACATGTATTCTTTAGATGGTGCTACAAATATCGAGAAAAATGTTCATATTAATTTGCTAATGCTGTCTCTTCGATATCTTCGTTTCCTCTCGACTTCTCGAAGACTAATAAATTTTGTGGTAATTTTAAACTAAATTTCATATATTACTCTAAATTTATTTAAGTAAAGCATAAGTCTGGGTTTGATTTATCATTCTAGTAAAGCCTTGCTGCATGTAATACCTATTTTCTATGTGCGTACCAAACCTGGAATAGGAACTTTCGTTACCAGAAATCGCTTAAGGTGATTTAAATACTGTTTATTGAAGCTCACCTCAACCCTTAATCCTTAAATCACCTTAAGTGATGTAGGCTGACTCAGAGTTCTTATACATGGTCGTTCAAAATCATAAGTATCTCGGATGCGTTTTCTAGCTTTAGGAAAATTACTGCACTCCTCTTTTTATCTATATTCATCTCCTATAAATTTGATCCTTCGATAAAGTTCGAGTTCTAATGCTCAGCACCTGTAGTGCCATCTACATGGAATAATCCTATTTGGAATAATGCCATTTCTGGATTATAGACAATTCTGAATTGATATTGATCATTCTTGTTTTCTAAATATGACTAATATTGTCTATTTTTGACATTTCTGATAAAATGTCAACAATTATTACTTAATTTCCAACCTTCTCCTGCCATTCTTTAGCATGAACATTATTCAATTTAATTCATCCAAGAGAGGCGGAAAATTGACTTAGGTCTCTGTTGCAAGCCATTTAGTACTCTTTCCCCAATGACCCGTTATTTAATCTCGACAAAGAGGTGTCAAGCTTTTGTCAATAAGATTGCAGAGCAATTAGGGCAAGTCATATTTTAATTCCCCTTTATAATCATAAATGGAGTCCCAACACGCAATTGGAAAAATAGCATATGGTACATGTACATATAGGCATCAAAACACATTTCTCGAAATGCTTTTCTCTGCTAAGTTTTTTATACCAAATAAATTCATTGAGTCGGCTTAAGGCTGCATCAGGCGATTTCTCTGAATGATATAATATATGAGTTGGCTTGCAGTAAGTTCCCTCAGAATGCCAAACAGATGTTAAGGTACCCTAATTTCTCCTGATGTTTCAAGGCCTTGTGATTTTAAAATTAGTTTAAAAGC